GGCCAGCGTGCTCCCAGATTTAAATCCCATCGAACATGTGTGGGGGATGTTTTGGGGGGAACGTATTGCCACACGCTCACATCATCCGGAGTACAACCAACAACTCAAACAGATGTTGATTGAGGAATGGCACTCCTACCTCAAGAAATGTTGCACCAGCTGGTTCTGAGTATGCGGGGAGACGGTGCGAAGCAACCATTGTAGTAAGGGGAGAGCATATACCCTATTAAGGAACATCTGCTTGTTGTTCTTCCTGTTGGATAGACAATCATGAGTCACGATACTATGCGTTCAATAAAGCTTGTTTTTGTTTTATTCCATACCGTATGCGTTGTGTTCCTTTTTCAGCGCCGATGCTTTCGTCATCCTTTACGTACATAATACTCTCCCTCATTTCAGAATTTCATGTCTCTCAGATGATTTTTCGTGAAGTTATGGCAATAAACCCACCTGTTGCTTAAGTTTTGCACACCAGTGTATAATTCGATTCATAACAATATTTTAATACTTAAAAAATTCTATTAGTGGTCCGCGGGATTTAAATTGTGAATTTACTGGTCTGTGAGGTCAAAAAGTTTGACGACCGCTGCACTAGACTCAATGAATACCCGACTGACGATATCGTCAGTCGGTATTGGGAGGCTCAATGTCAAATGGTCAAGAAGCCAAGTACAGGCGATGGGTACATAAATTTCATTTCCGAAGTATTGGGTTGTTCGGAAAGTAATTTAATTCTTTGTTTGTGAAAATGAAGACAATTTTCATGTAGTAAATAAATATTTTATTAAATTATGTACTGTCCATTCTGGTCCCCAATACCTTCGCCATCTATCTGGCAGTAGCGTGATTCCACGCTAAAAAAATTTTTGTTCTGTGCTGACAAAAAATTGATCCAGGTAATTTTTGACCGCCTTATTTGAAGTAAAGGTTTTAACGTCTAAAAATTTTTGTAGAGATCGGAACAAATAATAATCAGAAGGTGTCATATCTGGAGAATATAGTGGATGTGACAGTATATCCCATTCAAGCTGTAAAAGTTTTTGGCGAGTTACCGAACTTGCATGAGGTCTTGCTTTATCTTGGTGAAATACTACACCTTTTCTGTAGATCAATCACCTTTTTCTGATGAATATTGGCTTTAGAAATTTTTTTTATGATCTCTTGCGTTTGAAATTGTTTTAGAAAACCTATTTCTCGTCCCCAGTGAAGATGCACTTAAAAATGGGTCACTTTCTTGACACTTGAGAAGCAAATCACAGACTTCAATGTGACGACACAAATTTCTTACCTACCTTGGGAACATGAGGAACCAATATGCAGGGACATCTTAAGACTTCTTGCGGCCTTGGGCCCCACCACAAAAGTAGGCCTTGGGCTGCTATACAAATGTAAGCCCAACCTATGACCCTTAAAAGCAGACAGTACATAACATACGTTGTCAAATGCTCGTAAAAATAACCTGAAACAAATAAATGTGTATGACTTAGAATCGCACAAACCGACTCGACTGACTGCTGCCTTTTGATTGAAAGAGCAATGATGGCGTACGGTGGCAGGCCTAGGCCTGTAAGTGGACGACGGTCATCACCTGTGACAGTTGGTATATCTTCCGAAAGTCCCTGTTTTTCGGAGAATACAACCGGAAATAACATTTGAACATTGAAATTATTCAAATTATGATCTTATTAAGGCTGAGTCGAAAGCGAGGCGAGTCCCTGGGCCCAGTTGGCCCATGCCTTAAAATGTCCCTGCCAGTATGTTGAGTTTTGATGTTAAACGAAGATGATCATGAACAGTTGAATTCGATAAATTTAACCTCTCAGCGATCTCACGATTTGTTATTCACCGATTTGTTTTAATTAATGTCTTTATTGTGTCTATCAGCTTCAACTGGCCTTCCAGAACGTGGTGCATCTTCAACAACAAAATTGCCGGATTGAAATTTTGTTTACCAATTTTGGCATTGGCGCACGGTCAAATACATCTCCGTACACATTGGCTAATTGTTTTCTTGCTTGAACAGCATTTTTACCTTTTCGATAGTAAAAAAAGTAAAATATGCCAAAAATGCTGCTTTTCACTCTCCATCTTTAAAAGGGCACCAATCGGAAACTTCTGCGTAGAATCAATTGGACTTTTTCACAAAAAAAGCCTTGCTGTTTCAGCCCTCAAAACATATAATGATTAGGCGGCTCAAGTGTGAAGTTGGGTGTGAAAAGTAATGATTAAATCCTGTCTCGGAAAAAAATGAAATTACTTTCCGAACAACACGATATATATAATTCAACATTCGTTGATGCTAAAATTTTTATCAGGAAATGTAAAGATGTCTAAATTTATGTACTTTTCTAAAATAACAACTAATATAAACAAAAAAATTTTAAGTCAATTCCTACTTAGGTCAACACCGAAAAAATTTATTTTAGCTACTTTTTTTATTAAATTATTACAATTATTATAAAAATATGTATATACATATGACAGAATCCCACTATTAAGCGACAAAATAAAAAGCGATTTTCCTTGCAATTTTCCCTTTTCCTTTCTAATGGTGTTGGACTATTTTTTTTTCTTTGTTTGTTACTATTTATTCATTCAATAAATTCAACTATTGTAATAAAACTGTATAGTAAAAAAAATCTGATTCGCAAAAATTAGGCCATCTCAGGTTAGATTCGAACCCACGACCTTTGGATTAGAAGTCCAACGCGCTATCCATTGCGGCAGAGGAACACAACAAATGATTTTCCTTTCTATATAGGGTGTTAGACTATTATTTTTGTTTGCTACTATTTATTCATTTTTAGTTTAATTAATGAATTAATATTTGAAAAGATATTAACATCAAGGAGTCATCCACTACAAGTTTTAAAAAAATGTATTTGAACTTGAAAGGATGAATAGAAAGTATTTTATCAACGATTGAAACTTTGAACAAGATATATATATATATATATTTATAAATAAATACATATAGGGAGAGAATGAACTAATAGCAGGAATTGAAAAAGTAACAGTAAATGCCTTTGATATTTGGCTCTACTTCTTGCATTATTTATGTAATCTGATTTATATAACAAAAAGCTCATCAGAACGACAATATCACCGATTTCTTTTCAACCATCAAAAATTAAGCTATTATTTCTTCTGTTGCAATCGAAAACTATTGCTTCATCAACCTCCTATCGAATTTTGTGTAATATCCTGTTTACATCTATCACTTTTACTTCCATTGTACCTGGAATTGTTTCGAATGATTTTTCGTCTTTTGGTCTCAACGGTATTATTTTTAGAAACAATTTCGTAATACAGGAAAAGATTCAATTCACTTTAATGACATTTTTCCCTAGCCCAATTAATGACACTTTTGCCGACATTTTTTTTTTTTTTAATTTTCTCGCGAGGTTTGTACGGTCTGTTGCATTTTGCTCGAGTGCCAAGTTCTGTTTGAATTGGGTAATAGATTTAGAGCAGGTTTAGGAAGAAAACCGCCTCCGTGTTTGCATTTTGAATACTTCTAGACCTAGTCTGCTCTAATTAGAGCATATACCAGGTCTAGTTAAACAATTAATATAAAAAAAAAATTTTTTTTTTTTTTAGTCAATTCCTACTTGAGGTCAGCAAAGAAAAATTTTAGTTTAGTTACCTTTTATTAAATAATTACAATTAAATAATTTGGGTAATAGATTTAGAGCAGGTTTAGGAAGAAAACCAACACCGTGTTTACATTTTGAATACTTCTAGACCTAGTCTGCTCTAATTAGAGCGTAGACCAGGTCCAGTTAAACAAGTAATATAAAAAAAAAAATTTTTTTTTTAGTCAATTCCTACTTAGGTCAACAAATTTTTTTTTTATTTTTTAGTTACTTTTTATTAAATACAGTCGAACCTCTATATTACGAATTTTTCGATATAGCGAAATTTTTTCTAGAACCTTGAACATTTAACAATTTTCTTCGTAAAATAACCTCTCTATAGCGAAGTGCATTTTCTATATAACGAACTTTTTCTTTTTTGATTCAATTTTCGTTCTCCCTTTTTTTAAAGTATATTTGAAAAAATTGCGAGTTATTCTCTCTTTAACACATTTTATGGTGGTCATAAATCTTGAATTGGTTTTATTAGATTCTAACTCGCCGGGAGCAATAGAGCTCTGGACGTTTCATCCAAGAAGTGCAACCTTTAACCCCCATTGCCCAGTTCACTAGAAACATCTTTGATATCCTCCTTCCCATTCAGTGGAGTTGTCCCATGTCCCCGTGTTTTAATTAAAAATATAATGTATGCTTTAAAGTGCCTAACTCGCCGAGAACAATAGAGTTCTGGACGTTTCATCCAAGAAGTGCAACCCTTAACCCCCATTGCCCAGTTCACTAGAAACATCTTTGATATCCTCCTTCCCACTCAGTGGAGTTGTCCCGTGTCCCCGTGTTTTAATTAAAAAATAATGTATGTTTAATATTACCTGTATGCTTCAAATTATAAAATGTCCTTAAAATTCATTAATTATAGTTTAAAATTATTTTCTTAATATTGAAAATACAGCGAATTAATTCTTCGACATTATTTTTTCTTGCAGTTTTTCTTTCTTTTTTAATGAGAAAGTTATATAAAATAAACATATATTAATTTTAAAAAAAGGTGTGAATGATTACTTTTTTTAATATATAGTGCTTATGAATTTAAAATTTGTTTTATGTGGTTTATAAAGTATATTAAAAGATGAACCTCTATATAACGAATTTTCCATATAACGAACTTTTTTCCGGGATTTAGCGACTTAAAGGTCCGACTGTAATTACAATTAATATAAATAAGTATATACATATGACAGAATTTCGATATTAAGTGGCAAAATAGAAAGCGGTTTTCCATTTTCCTTTCTATATAGGGTGCTGGACTATTATTTTTGTTTGTTACTATGTTTATTCATTAATTAAATATAATTCTTCCTAGTAAAATATTGTAGTAAAAAGAAATCATATTCTCAGAAATTAGGCCATCCCAGGTGGGATTCAAACCCACGACCTTTGGATTAAAAGACCAACACGCAATCCATTGCACTACAGGGACACAACGAGCAATTTTCCTTTTTTTATATGGTGTTGGATTATTATTTTTGTTACTATTTATTCATTAAATAAATAGAATTAATGAATTAATATTTGAAAAAATTGTATTAACATCAAGTGTCATCCACTACGCGTTTAAAAAAATGTATTTAAACTTTAGTGGATGAATAAAAAATATTTTATTAACGATTGGAAATTTGAACAATATATATATATAGGAAGAGTGTGAACTAATAGTAGGAATTGGAAAAAGGTTGGTTTTTTTTGTGTTCATATAGCTAGATTTTTAAATGATATGTTAGATTTTTTATTAGTCTAATTAAATTATTTTCGCATTATGTTGAATGGAAAAATAAAATTTTAACATACAATTTTCAGATAAGGATGGGGAATCCAGAAGTCTAAAGTTTACGTAATTTTTAAGAATATATTTATATCAGTGGCGCACACAAGGGATTCCTGGGTTCGGACACCCCCTATAGGCCTGGATTTTTTTTCCCGATTGATTGTAATCATATCTCCATAGTACCTAAAATTTAATTAAGTATTTGTAATAAATAGTTTTAATTTATGAATTAATTCTTATTTATTCAATTATTTATTTTTTACTTTTTTTGTTCCCAACAATCGACAAAATCAAAAGAATGCGTTTGATGGGGTGTATTGAGGTATGATATGAGAATGGTGGACTTTCAAACCCCGACCCCCTCCCCCCTGTTCCTGAAAAATTCCTTTGTGGTCCACTGATATATATCTGTATCAATAGCGCACACAGGAATTTTTAAAGGGGGGGTGGGTGGGTCCGGGGTTGAAAATTCACCATTCTTGTATCATACTATTTTTGATTTTGTCGATTTTCAGGAACAAAACACAGTAAAAAACTAATTATTGAATAAATAATTAGCATTAATTAATAAAATTAATCCTTAATAACAAATATTTAATTAAATTTTACGTATTATATACTTAGAATTATAACCAATCGGAAAAAAATCAAGGCTTTGGAAAAAAATCAAGTGTCCGGGCCCCAAGAACCCCCTCCTTGTGTGCGCCACTGATCTGTATGTATAAAGGAGAAAAGTGTCTCACTTTCTCATGCATCCCGATATCTCCGGAATTGTTAGACCTACGGCCTTGAAATTCGGCAGGCATGTTCCTTTTGTTGAGTAGAGATCCGGTAAAGGGTTTTGTGGAAATCGACTCACATGAAAAAGAGTGTTTTAGGGGTGTTATACAAAAAAAATTGATGTTTTTAAACTATTAGATTTACAAACTTAAAATTTGGCAAACATCTTCCTTCTGTTGCGTAGAAATCGACTAAGAACAGTTTTTTTTTTTTTGTTTGTTTGTTTGCTTTTGTTTTTTTTTTGAAGATGTATTTCCAAGAGGAAGGGGAGTGATTTTAAAAACTCTGTTTTTGAAAAACATATTTCTTCTTCAAAAAACACGTTTCTAGCTCTATTTCTTTTAAAGGTATATTATACGAGTACGTATGTTCATTTTCTCTCGTTAAAGAAAAGGTGTTCAAAAAAAAAAAATTATTTAACTGATCACTAACTGAAGTAAAAGAAAATTTTTAGAATAAATCAAGCAGGAAGAAGCGTAACCATAAAAACTAGAACGCGTATGGAGAGAAATGCTCAATCTATTATTAAGAGATGAAATGTAAGAATAATAAATAATAAATATCCAGAAAGGTTTTAACGGTGAAATTACGCGAAATAGTTTAAAAAATTTCACACAAATGCAGCATTTTTTTGAGGTTCTCTTTCTGTAATCGTCTGTGCAAACGATAAGAACAAAAAAATCAAAATATTCTTCTGCCACGAGTGACGTCATATTGAAATTTCTTATTGTTCTTCAGTTTCAATTGTTCTGTTCAACACAAAAATATTAGAAAAAAAATTTTTTTTTTTTCTTTTTTAATAATGTAGTAATAAAACGACGCACTAAGGCGATATTAGCATTTCACGTGAAAACGCTCGAATGCAATTAATAAAAGAAAATTCTCCAGAAGAATAAGAACTGAGATCGTTTGTTCCAAGTCATTAGTTTCGAAAAAAAAAAGAAGATAACTGTAGTTCTAAAATCCTTGAAACCGTAGTGAAATAAAATTTAGTATTCGTAAACGTTGCCATGGTAACATTCATTTGGTTGCTAACCGTCTCCGTGGTAGAAAACTGAATTTGTTTCTTAGAATATTCGATGGTGTTATATTCCAAGGTTGAATGGAATCGACTGGTTTGAAATCGCGTTCGTTTTTTAAGTTAAAGAACTGAAAGAAAAAGATAATTTTTTAATCTTTTTACAAGCTTGAGTTTTTCTTATTAATTCTTTGAGAAAATTTTAATGTATTTTATCCATTAATGGATTTATATGCTAAAATTTAGCATCACATTTGGTAAATACAGTGAAATACGTTTAAAGCTAAAGCGGTTAAGACGAAATATCGGTTTACACGAAATAATACAACTGACTGGACAAGCTACTATGTATTTTCACGTATTTTTTCTTTTAACACAAAACAAAATCGCTTAACACGAAAAGGTGAAGGAGGACAGTATAAATAAGCCGACACTTAATGAAATGTTGGGGAAAGTTTCTGCATTATTAGACTATCCTACTGTATCATCGAAAGAATTCGTTGCAGTAGATGATATATATGTGTGCAGCCCCAATTATGGCAGACAAAGACATTTTGGAGTTTTTTTCAAAACTCGAAAAAATATCATTGATTCAGATTCCAACGACGAAAATGAAATGAATAATGCAGCTTCTGTTCTCACGTTATACGAAATGAGGAGCATCATGAAAAGTATGCGCAGTTCTTTAGACGTACATTTCAATGGTGAAATGATTAACAAAGTAAGAGACATCAAACAATTTGTTAACAAAATTTTCCAAGTGAAATTTTAGTAATGTTTTTGAAAAACTTCAAAGCAGCTAGAGAAAAAAGTAATAAACACATATATTAGTAAAAGTATTACTAAAACAAATTAGACGCATTTATCTAGAAAATACTAAAATGTTAATGTCTTATTAAAATTTGAAAATTTTAGAGCTGATTGAGCAAACACTATAAGAAACATTACATTCTTTATGAGACAATTATTTAAATAACAAGCCATAACTCAAAAAGTATTCATTGAATAAAAAATATTTTAGTACAATCAGGTTAAAAAAAAGTGTTATAGAGATACATTCGGAACATTTTGAGTTATCAGACTCGCCATGATAGATTTTGAGCAATTTAAATGCCCCCTTCTAGTAGATCAAAAACCCACTCTTCCGGTTTTTCCAACTTTATAAAATTGAGTGTAACTTGGCCTCTAGGTAGTGTAGAAACAAAACAAAGTGTGTTTCGTAAAGCCAAAATAAAAAATAAATAAAAAAACAAAAATATCTGTCTTGACAGAATTTGGTCATTTTCAACGTGTTCGGATAACGATTTTCACTGTAGTACATTGACCGTTATTGATTTGACTTTAATAAATGAAATAAAAATAATAACTTCTGTTTAAAAATTATTTGAATATTCTAAATTCATCTTCATAAACTTTTCTTGTCTATTATTAACAGGATTAAAAAATAAAAGTGAGAAATCACACATATTTTTTAAAAGATAACTAAAATTAAGAACTCCATTCACATTTTGCATTAATTATTTTACAAGATCATTTTCTAACATTTTAAGAAATTTAAAAAGGACGTCGTTAATTAGATTTAGAATTTTTTTAAAAAAACTCCCGAAGATTCTTAAGAATACTTTTAATTTAAAATTGAGAAAAAAAATTTTTTAATGGCTGAAAATTATTTATTTCAAAGGAAATAAATTTTGTTTTTCAATCTTTATAATTCTCAGCCAAAAATTTCAGAAATTTTGCTGCCACAGACGATTATTATATTTTTTAAAATTCTGCAAAAAAATAATGCATCAATGATTCTTTACCGACAGACGATTATTTATTCATTTTAACAGAATTCAACTTACAAGAGAATTTTCCAGTTTTAATAGAATTATGTTTTTTTAATCAAATTATCTCTTTTTTTTCACAAATTTTTAATTTTTTGCGACATTTTGAACATTGCTAAACGTCATCAAATAATTTAATTGATTGCAAATTCATAAAATTAATTAACGTGGAATTTTTTTCATTTCATGTCGATAAATAATATAAAGAATTCGACTTTCAAGCGAATTTCCCATTTTTAAAGAATTATTTTTTAAACAATGCAACTTAAAATTCTTTTAATAAAAATTAATTTTTTAATCAATCTTCTTCCCTCTCCCCTTTTACAAATTTTCGAAATACATTTTTCCCCCCCTTGCAATAAATACATCGATCATTGTCAACCGATAACAAAAAAATAATTTACGTTGCTGTTTTTTTTTTGCTGTTGTTCATTTTATGTTGATCAAATTATCAAATTATTACCTTTGCATAAATTTTAGAGCCCTTATACCTCTATACGTTCCAACAAAAACCAGACTTGAAAATTACAAAACGAAAAGAAAATTACAATATTGATAGCAAACGTTGCGTTGCCATTGTTCAATTTACCCTGAACGAAAAAAAAGAAAGAGAAAGAACTTGGGAAAAGATAACGTGGTGTGCAACTAGTAGTGGCCTCATTCCAAGCCTTGTGTCGTTGCTCTGCTTACCTTCCTACATGTGTGTGTGTCCTTCTCTTCCCCCTCCCCACCTTCTAGTTGGTCACCCACTTGTTCAATGAGCTGAAACTACACTTTCACTGTGATGAGTTTGATATCTCTGAGCCATGTATGACCGTCTGTGTCAGAATTCTGTGGTCTGATACATAAAGAAAATTAGTCGAACGACCTTCGCGTTCTATATCGATCAACGGGGTATTTGATAAGGGATTGTCGAATTTCTTGATGGTACTTTTCGAACTATTAAGTCAACATGAAAAACATTCTGATAATTTCAGTCTTATGTATTGCAATTGTATTATTAATAAATATTTAATCTGTTGTAAATA